GAGAGAGAGAGAGAAAGAGAGAGAGAGAGGAGAGAGAGAGAGAGAGAGAGGGGGGGGGAGAGAGAGAGAGAGAGAGAGAAGAGAGAAGAGAGAGAGAACAGAAAGAGAAAGAGAGCGAGAGAGAGATTGAGAGGCGAAAAGTCGAGAGAGAAGAGAGAAGAGAGAGAGAGAGAAGAGAAGAGAGGAGAGAAGAGAGAGAAGAGAGAGAGAAGGAGGAGAGAGAGAGAGAAGAGAGAGAGAGAGAGAAAGAGAGAGAGAGAGAAGAGAGAGAGAGAAGGGGGGAGAAGGGAGAAAGAGAGAGGGGGGGCGGGAGAGGAAGAGAAGAGAGAGAGAGCGCGAAGACAGAGACAGAGACAGAAAGAGAAAGAGAGAGAGAGGAGGATTGAGAGCGAAAAAAAGAGAAGAGGGAGAGAGAGAGAGAGATTGAGAGCGGAAGAGAGAGAGGAGAGAGTAAGAAGAGAGAGAGAGAGAGATTGCGAGGGAGGGAGGGGGACAGAAAGATAGAGAAACAGAGAGAGAGAGAGAGGGAGGAAGGGAAACATAAAGATACGTTGAGAGGGAGAAAGGGCAAGAGAGGTAGGGAGAGAAAAAGAGAAAGAGGAAAACGGTCTTTGACGAAATAAATATATTCAACTAGTAATATTCTCTGGACAGTGTCATTTCATCATTAAGACAGTAGATCGTTAACAAAAAAAATATGAAATGAGCGTATCGCAAAATAATGATATGAACGTCATCGTCTGCAAAACATGAATACCCTTCTTTCTGCTCTCACAGTGCCAGATATGCCATGCCCATTCGCCAAAACTTTTCTGTGGTCAGTCCTGGCGCTCAACGAGAGCTAATGACACGTTTTCACGAAGGGATATGGCACGTTGAGCTTTATCGTGGAAAGTGTTAATTTGCCTGAGTGGTATATCTTGTCACACGAGCATATTCCAAATTTGGAATATCCAGCCCTGGAATAGCCTGCTCTGAAAGCATGGTTGTGTATGGTAACACACACACACATAGACATATATGTGTGTGTGTGTGTGTGTTTGCTTGTGTGTGTTTGTTTGTGTGTGTGTGTGTGTGTGTGTGTGCGTCTGTGTGTGTGTGTGTGTGTGTGTGTGTGTGTGTCATGGTGTCCCTCGATAAACTGACGCAGAACTTGGCGACGCTCGCCTCGAGCACGGCGACGAGTCGGCACAGACCGTCGGCCGGACGGAAGACGCCGCCGAGGAGGCCGTGTGCGCCGTCATGCCCTAGGGCGCCTTCGCCTTCAGCGATCTCAGGCAGCGCAAGGCCCAGCGAAAGGCGCAGCGGGCGTCAGAGCCTCAGCAGCAGCAGGCCAAGCAGAAGGAGGAGGAGGAGCAGCCATTTGTCGTCTCCCAGAAGGAAATGGCACAGATCCTGGAGGGCCACCTCGTAGCGAAGAAGGAGATGAAGAAGAGAAGAAGCAGCGCCAGCACGAGTAGCTCTACAGGTGGGGAGCATCGCCTACCACGACGGCAGACACGGCCCGCGGGCGTCTCGTGGGCGCCGACGGAGACGGGCGGCAGATCTCCTCCGGGAAACAGCGGCAGATTTTTGTTTTGATTTGTAGATTTGTCTGTTGCAAAGGAGAATTTAGCTTTGGTGTTGTAGAGCAATACTGAAAAGGGGGAAAAGAAAAAAAGGATAAACGACAAAAGAGAAAAAATAATCAAAAGGATAAGGGACATGAGAGGAAAAAGAAAAAAGGGATAAAGGGTAAAGGAGAAATAAGTTAGATAAAAAAGGAATATATATATACAAAAGTATATACATGTATGTATGCGTGTATCCTCTCCTCTCCTCTCCTCTCTCTCCTCTCTTCTCTCTCCCTCTCTTCTCTCTTCTCCTCTCCTCTCTCTCCTTTCCTCTCCTCTCTCTCCTCTCCTCTCCTCTCCTCTCCTCTCCTCTCCTCTCCTCTCCTCTCCTCTCCTCTCCTCTCCTCTCCTCTCCTCTCCTCTCCTCTCTCTCCTCTCCTCTCCTCTCCTCTCCTCTGCTCTGCTCTCCTCTCCTTTCCTCTCCTTCCTCTCCCTCTCTCTCTCACTCTCACTCTCCTTCACTGCCTTTCTATCTATCTAACCGTGTTATTTTTTCTCTCTCTTGCTCATTCTGTCGACAGTAGCGCTCAAGAATTGTGAAAGACCCAGTGTACCATTTCTTTTCCTTGGCCATAAATGAATAGGGTTTTGATAATAATATCACAAAATCTCATGAACGCACCTGTCAAGTTACAAGTGTAATTGCTCGGTAGTCCCTACCACATCAAACTATCCACGCACGATAGTTAAGTTAGAGAAATATTTTTTATGCTGTAATCATTGTAAAAAAGGTGTGAGTGAGAGATGAACTTCGCAATACAAGAGATGTATTTGATGTATTTGACCGGTTTCGAATATGTTTTCGTGTGAAGTACGTGTATATTTTTTTTCCTTAATCAACTAAAAACTGTAGTCTACCCGCGGTCACTATCTCCAACATCCTGCTGGACGCGCACGCCTCCACACAGCAAACATTTATTTATCTCTGACACATATCCTGTCCACAGAGAGCGAGGGAGAGCGAAAGGGAGAGAGAGAGAGAGAGAGAGAGAGCGAGAGAGAGAGCATACTGTGTTCATTACCACGCCCAAGTACTCACCGTAGAAGACGTCTGATTCGTGAGGAATTCGTGAGAGAAGGAGGGAAATTCACGTAGGATGAAATTCGTGTTTGTTGGAGAGATTCGAAAATGTCGTGTGTGGATTATTTTGAGAATTCTTCCTTTTCTAGACGGGTGTAGGGGATGTGTATGTGAAAGTTAAGTGTTTTGTGCTCTATCTTTCAGTTGTGAGAAACAGAAGAGATTTTGCCCATGGTTTAAATGGTGTTTTGATAATAGAATGCGTACTATGAATAATAGAATAGTTTACACATTTATGACGGACTCTTTGCCAGTGTTGAAACATATGGGCTGAAAGAACTTTAAGCAAATGACGCTGTTATTGTGAAATATTTACCAAAACATAAATCTATCATCAAGTGGCACATTATGTATCATTCATTTTGTAATTAACAGAGAAGGATTTGTTAATGTGGTTGCATCAGAATTGATATGTTGTCATTCGCATGAATCAAGGTGCTCAATGACTCATAGATGAAGATAAGTATAGATCAATAAAACCGACCGTGCATCACAGATAAAACAAAATCTAAACTACAATAATACCTTTATCGATTCTGAATCTTTTAAAACAAAACATAAAGGGTTTGAACACCTCAACATCACATCTAGATTATTCTTTTTTCTACAGGTTATGCAGTACATTAGATCACACGCCCAAAGCGCATGCGCAACACCTACGTATTTTGTTTTATCTTTCTCCATATATGCGACGAGTGGGAGGACGAGCCCGCCAACCTCTCTCGCTCTCACTCGCTCGCACTCGAACTCTCCTCCTCCTTGAATCATCGCCGCAATCCACGCTAATCGCCTCGTCCTCGAACTTACAGAAACGGCTGAAGATGTCCCGTTTGAGTTCGCCGAACCCCCGCCCGCACCCCCTCCCCCGCCCGCTCGCTCTCCCCCGACGCCCCGCCCACGCTGCGTGAGTGAGGGCGGCTTCCTCGGGCCTCAGGGACGGCCGCGGGAGGGAGATCTCTGCGAGTGTGTGTGAATGCGTGTTTGTAATATATATATATATATAATATATATATATATATATATATATATATATATATATATAATATATTATATATATATATGTATATATATATATATGTATATATATAATGTATATATATATGTATTAATATATATATATATATATATATACTGTATATATATATATAATATAATATATAATATGTATATATATATATAATATATGTATATATATAATATTATATAATATATATATATATATATGTATATATATATGTATATATATATATATATATATATATAATGTGTGTATATAATATATATATTATATATATATATATATACACATACATATATATATATAATATATATATATATATATATATATATATGTGTGTGTGTGGTGTGTGTGTGCGTGTGTGTGTGTATAGATATAGATAGGTAGAAAGAGAGATAGATAGATATGTATGTGTGTGTATCTGTGTGTGTGTGTGTGTGTGTGTATGCATATACATGTAGGGTATATATATAGATAGATAGATAGATACACTGATACATGTACCTCTTCATACATACATTCATACATAGATTTATAACCCTTTAATAACAAATACCCCCCACCCGCCTCCCCCTCAGAGGGACAGCTCCTGAGTGCCCAGAGGACCTCCGACTTGTACGACACGTCCGAGGATGAGGCCGAGCTGCAGGGACTCTCGGGATCGTCTGCAGAAGGTAACGGGCGTAATTTTTTTTTTCTTTTCTCTTTTTTTTTCTTTTTTTTTTTTGGGGGGGGGGAAGGGATTTTTGTTTTATATATATTTTTTTTGGGGGGGAGGGTATTTTTGTTTTATATATATTTTTTTTGGGGGGAGGGTATTTTTGTTTTATATATATATATATATATTTTTTTTTTTTTTTTGGGGGGGACGGTATTTTTGCTTTATATATCGGTGTATCTGTTTTGTTGACTTGTTTATTTATTAGTCTTTTGTCTGTTTTTTTACTTATTTATTTGTTTATTTATTTGTGTGTTTGTTCATTTGCTTATTCATTTCTGCACAAATGTTAATGGGGAAGGCTAGATCGATAGCAACTCGAGGAGGTGTCATGGCGTCTGTTTATTTTGATGACGTCACAAAAGTCCCGGATGCTTTGTGAATATGGTCGATCATTTTGGTCTCTTCAGTCTTCAAAAAGGATGGAAAATAATTATTTAGATGGTTATATTTTCATTGAACAGTCATCAAAATAGCCCAGAGTTGCTGATTATGTTTATTTATGATTCTCAAGTGGAATTACTCGCAGTGGGAGTCAAGCCAAAGTCCTGTATTTTTTTACTCAACTTG